GAAGTTCTTCCCAAACACCTTCCTAAACTTTTAAAAACCTTCCAAAAAAGAAGTTTAAGAAAGATTTTCACTTGTTTATGAAAACTTTGTTAAACACCTTCTTAAATTTGTAAAAAACCTTCCTAAGAATTAGTTTAGGAAGGATTTTCACTTGTTTGGGAAGGCCTTCCTAAACACCTTTATAAACAAATAAAAAACATTCATAAAAATAAGTTTAGGAAGGATTCTCACTTGTTTAGGAAGTTCTTCCCAAATACTTTCCTAAAATTTTAATAACCTTCCAAAAAAGAAGTTTAATAAAGTTTTTCACTTGTTTAGAAAAACTTTGTTTCCTAAACTTGTAAAAAACCTTCCTAAAAATTGGTTTATGAAAGATTTTCACTTGTTTAGGAAGACCTTCCTAAACAAGTAAAAAACCTTCTTAAAAATAAATTTAGGAAGGATTCTCACTTGTTTAGGAAGACTTTCTTAAACACCTTCCTAAACTTGTTAAAAACCTTCCTAAACTAGAATTGTTTAGGAAAAAACATTCCAAAAGTAAAAAATGGAAAAGAGAGATTAATTGTAGGAATAAATTTCCCTTTTTTATATATATATTTCTAATTCAAAGGTATTGTTTGAAACTAATATTATAGATTTCAAAGATATATGTAAATATTCTTATAATTTTACCCAAATTAGGTTTAGGAGTTTGTGATCTATAAATAAATAAATAGGGAGGTATATTAACCAAAAATCTCTCGCGTGTGAAACAAGTATCTTCGATATTTTGAGCAATAAAGCAAAGCAATAAGAAACGTAATCGGCTTCCCAAGTGGTCGGAGCTTTGTCCGGATTTGCTGCGATGTGTTTTCGAACGACTGAGTTTCACAAATGTCAATCGAGCTAAATCAGTTTGTAAGTCGTGGAACTCTGCTTCAAGAAGCTGCGTCCCCAAGCGAAATCAGATTCCGTGGCTGATACTCTTCCCTCGAGACGAAGAAGAAACCAATAGCAATAGCAATAGGCGTGGTTTATTCGTTCCAGAGGATAAAAAAAAAGTTTACAAGACTCGAGATCTCGGTGTTGGCTTTACACAGAGACAGAGTTCTTGTCTTGCGACTCACGGTAGCTGGCTCTTGATGTTTGACCATCATCTTTGGAATCTCTACATTCTCAATCCTTTGACGTTAGAGAGGATTGATCTACCACGTCCACGCTCTATCTTTTCTGAAAGATTCAAACCAAACCTCAGATACAATCCGTCTTGTCTCTGGATAGACGACATAACCAAAGATTACCTAGTTTTTTGGGGCACGGATTACTACGTGTTTTTTACCAAGAAAGGCAATGACACGTGGCGAATCGTTAACCATGAATTGTATGGACAAATTGTCTACAACCACAAAGATGAGAAGGTCTACACTTATGCTTCCTTTGGTCAAGTCTATGTTTGGGATTTCTCTGGTGATATCCCTCTCCTAGATGGGTATCCACCCCATCATGATATCTATAATGCTTTCAATGCCAAGCATTCTTCCTCAGAGGACACACTCTGTTGGTATTTGACTTCTAACTTCGATGAATGCATTGCAACCACGGTATCTGGACAAGTTCTGCAGGTATGCTATTCCCTGCAAGACCCCAAATATCAGTTTTATATCTACAAGTCAGATCCTCTCAGGCAGAAGAAATGGGTACAAGTCGATTCTTTAGGTGATGAGGCTTTGATTTTGGGCATGGGTTTCACTGTCATTGCCAACGATATCCCGGGGATTAAGAGAAACTCCATTTATGTCAGTGGCTATGACTATGCTAGAGATGATCCTAACCATATATTTGTCTATGATCTCACCACCCGAACCGTGGAACCTTTGCCACAATGCATTTTCTCCTCCATACGCTTCTCTGATGCTCGATGGTTCTTCCCGGATCTCACCCTTTAATCAATTAGGCTTGTTATTTCTGCTTCGTGTTTGTTTGTTTGGGTTATGCACATGTTTATTGTCTTAGACTTCATCACTTCATCTATCGTTAAGACGAATTCCCAAAGGAATAAAACAAGAACAAGTCTTTCTAAGTCCTATAAACGGTCATATATATCCATTCATTATCAAACAAGGACCAGGTCTACATTCCTTAACTGGAAGCTCGACTAATCTTGATTTACTTTCTCAGAAGAATGTGCAGGCCATGACTTACATAAGAGAGAAGAAAAAAAAACAATTCTTACAAGAACAGAGCAGAGAGCACAAAGCGATAGATTACTACTACCTTTGGAGGTCGAACAAAGCACTGTGGATGGTGTTTACTTGAAAGTGGACAGACGGGGAAGCTTGTCCCTCAGATAGTAAAGCCTTGCTCTTCTCACTTTTCTGTGACTCACCACTTTTATCTCTTTGATGTTGGGAGAGTATCTGCCAAATCAAACCGGTTAGGTGAATCAAAACATATCAAACACCTTTCTTAAATCCCGCATTGCACGAAAACAACCGATATACTACAACAAGTTCCTCGAGACTCGTAAGATATACATAATGTAAGATGGGAAGCATGAGGAGACATGATAGTTAGGCTGCCATAACTAGGGCAGTAAAACAGCAACAAAGGGTTTAGCTGTAAAGCTAAGAACCTATGCAAAGAATCTAACTACGATTAATGAACACTTATGTAAGAAAGGCTTATAATACATCAGAAACACACAAAAAAGTACCTAATCATAGCAAATGGCAATAAGAGAAGGCACAGA